AGGGGTGCATATGTCTTTTTGAATCTGAGAACTTGTATTCTTTGTGTAAATTCCTAGGAGTGGAATTCCCAGGTCATATGGTATTTCTATTTTTATTTTTTTGAGGAACCTCCATATTGCTTTCCACAGTGGTTGAACTAGCTTACATTCCCACCAACAGTGTACGAGGGTTCCCCTTTCTCAGCATCCTCGCCAGCATTCGTTCTTAGTCTTTTCCATGCTGGCCATCCTAACTGGTGTGAGGTGATATCTCATTGTGGTTTTTATTTGCATTTCCCTGATGATTAGTGATGTGGAAGCATCTTTTCGTGTGTCTCTTGGCCATCTGAATTTCTTCTTTGGAGAAGGGTCTCTTCATATCCTCTGCCCATTTTTTAATAGGATTATTTGCTTTTTGGGTGTTCAGGCATGTGAGTTCTTTATATATTTTGGATGTCAACCCCTTGTCGGATATGTCGTTTACAAATATATTCTCCCATACCCATATTGTAAAATGCCTTTTTGTTCTGTTGATGGGGTCCTTTGCTGTACAGAAGCTTTTTAGTTTGATGTAGTTGCATGTGTTCATTTTTGCTTTTGTTTCCCTTGCTCGAGGAGATTTGTTCAGGAAGAAGTTGCTCGTGTTTATATTCAGGAGATTTTTGCCTATGTTGTCTTCTAAGAGTTTTATGGTTTCATGCTTTACATTCAGGTCTTTGATCCATTTCAAGTTTACTTTTGTGTATGGGGTTAAATAATAATCCAGTTTCATTCTCTCACATGTAGCTGTCCAGTTTTGCCAGCACCAGCTGTTGAAGAGGCTGTCATTTCCCCATTGTATGTCCATAGCTCCTTAATCATGTATTTATTGACCATATATGGTTGGGTTTATATCAGGGCTCTCTAGTCTGTTCCATTGGTCTATGGGTCTGTTCTTGTGCCAGTACCTAATTTTCTTGATTACTGTGACTTTGTAGTAGAGCGTGAAGTTGGGGACTGTAATCCCCCCAACTTTATTCTTCCTTCTCTGGATTGCTTTGGGTATTCAGGGTCTTTTGTGGTTCCATATGAATTTCAGAATGATTTTCTTTAGTTTGTTGAAGAATGCTGTTGGTATTTTGATAGGGATTGCATTGAATCTGTAGATTGGTTTAGGCAGGATGGCCATTTTGACAATATTAATTCTTCCTATCCATGAGCACAGGATGTGTTTCCATTTATTGATATCTTCTTTAATTTCTCTCATGAGTGTCTTGCAGTTTTCAAGGTATAGGTGTTTCACTTCCTTGGTTAGGTTTATTCCTAGGTATTTTATTCTTTTTGATGCGATTGTGAATGGAATTGTTTTCCTGATTTCTCTTTCTGCTAGTTCATCATTAGCGTATAGGAATGTAACAGATTCCTGTGTATTAATTTTGTATCCTGCAACTTTGCTGAATTCAGATAATAGATCTCGTAGTTTTGGAGTGGATTATTTTGATCCCGTATTCTTACACCGCAACTCAGTGTTTGGACTGGCCGCATTACTGTCCCCTGGACTTGTTGGAGGTGCAGAATCACCACAGACATGCTGAATTAGAATCTGCATTTTAATATCCTAGGTAATTCCTGTGTTTATTACCATTTAAGAAGCACTGCTGGTCTAGACCAGTAGTTTTCAAACTGCTCCTGGGGCATCTTAGGGGCTGATTCAGGTTGGGAGCACTGAGCATGTGAGACTCTGGGTTCCTCATGTCCTTCAAGAAGCTTTACTTTCTGTTTTTTTTTATTAAGGTATCGCTGATATACACTCTTATGAAAGTTTCACATGAAAAACATTGTGGTTACTACATTCACCCATATTATCAAGTTACCCCCATACCTCACTGTAGTCACTGTCCATCAGCGTAGTAAGATGCCACAGAGTCACTACTTGTCTCAGAGAAGCTTTACTTTTACATGCTTCAATTGTTTATATTTCCACATAGATTTCAATTGAAAAACGAGATTTCATGGCTAAAATATGTTTGAAAACTAATGCCCTGGACTTGACTTCAGATTTGATTAAGTTGCCTTGACCCAAGTTGGCTTAAGCTGAAGGTCTGTGTACACATTATTTTCTAAAGGTCCAAATATTTGGATTCTTATTTCAAAGTTGAGAACTCTTTCCTAGGAAATGAGGTTGGCTAGTCAACCAGGAATCTGCCTTCTATGAAGAATTTCTTATTGCTCCACAGGCCCTTGCCAGCATGAGTCTCAACACCCAGCCCATCCTCAATCTGGAGAAATTCCATGAGGGCCAGGAAATCCCTCTTCTCTTGGGAAGGCCTTCTAGTGACCTGCAGTCCACACCATCCACAGAATTCAATCCACTCATCTATGGCAATGACGTGGATTCTGTTGATGTTGCGACCAGGTATGATCAAGTCAACAAGGCAATCAGTGAGCTCTTGGATTGGTCTCTGATCTCCAGGCGGCCTAGAGGCAGACTGCTTCCCTGAGCCTGAGTTCCTTTATAAACATGTATAATATTTGTTCATATTTGCTTCCTTAGTAAAAGCAAAGAGAAGAAACTCTTTTTGTTCAGCACACTCAGAGGCCTTTTAAGCCTTGAGTGAAAAAGGAGACTGATGATTCTTTAAGCCTGTGAAGTGGTGCTTTGGGAGGTGGTCTGAAACTATGATTGTAGGAACCCTCCCAGCCCGAGCTGGAGACTGGACTGCCTTACTGCCCCCTTCTTCCCCAGAGTGGCCATGGTCCGTTTCTTCAACTCCCCCAACATGCTGCGGGGCCTTCAGACACACACACGCACTCTGCGGCTCTTCCCTCGGCCCGTGGTCGCTTTCCAAGTGGGCTCCTTTCTAGCCTCACGCCCCCGGCAGACACCTTTTGCTGAGAAATTGGCCAGGACTCAGGCTGTGGAGTATTTTGGGGAATGGATCCTTAACCCCACGAACTATGCCTTTCAGAGAATTCACAACAGTGAGTCCACCTACCCTCTGCTCAGCCCCACCTTCTGCCTTTGTCCTCCTGATGGCCCTTCCCTCTCCTTTTTCCCTTTCTGATCTTTTACCTGCCCCTTCCATTCCTATTTTGCTTTAGACTTTTTGCTACCTTTCTTTTACGTGTTGCTTGCTTTTTCCCCCTTGTTGCTAACTCTGTCCTTTTTTCTCTTTGGGTAGACGTGTTTGATCCGGCCCTGATTGGGGACAAGCCAAAGTGGTACGCTCATCAGCTGCAGCCCATTCATTATCGAGTCTATGATGGCAGTTCCCAGCTGGCTGAGGCGCTGAGTGTGCCCCTAGAGCGTGACTCTGACTCAGACCCTCCTGATGACAGGTGAGCAGTCCCTTATGGAGGTAAAATAATTTTTAAAGAAGAGGCTCTCACTAGCCCTTGTTTAACACAATGGCAAAATGTCACAGGACTTACTTAACAGTCTTTGAAGCCTTGAGTTACATTTTGATTGTTTTATATTTGCTTCTTTATCTTAAGAATGCTCCTCTTTTTAATATTCCTAGTGCTGATTGCTGATTCTTTTCCCTGCTCCTCCTTTCTGTTTGTTTTCTATTTTTATATTTGTGCTCTTCACTCTGCAGTGGCAGCGATAGTATGGATTATGATGACTCAAGCTCTTCTTACTCCTCCCTTGGTGACTTTGTCAGTGAAATGATGAAATGTGACATCAATGGTGATACTCCCAGTAAGTGTCCTTGGGGAGAGTGGCCAGCTCTGGGCAGGGTTTGGGGTTCTGGGCTGGTGTAGTCTGTACTTGCCACCTGTGGGTTTTGGCAGATGTGGATCCACTGACACACGCAGCGCTGGGGGATGCCAGCGAGGTGGAGATCGATGAGCTGCTGACCCAGAAGGAAGCAGAGGAACCTGGCCCAGACAACGGGACCTCTCAGGAAAACCCCCCACTGTGCTCTAGCTCCAGCAGCCCCACCAGCAGCAGTCCCAGCGCCGTCACCCAGGGAGCCTGTTCTGTACGTGGGGCTACTGCTTGGGATGTGGGCCTCATCTGTATTAAAGTTCAGATAAAGCTCCTTATTTGCTCCTTTCTTCACAAGCTCCTATCTTCCTCTACATAGGCCCCATAGCTTACAGCCTATGACACAGTTTTGACTCCAGAAGGAGCTCATCAGGCTTTGTTCAAGATTCAGCTAAGATTTCCCCTTGCATAGCTTGTGGGGACAGAATGGGGGTGTTGCAGAGATCTTTTCTCACATATTCCTCAGGGTAGGAATTTGACAAGCCTAGATCATCCCTGCCAAGCTGAAAACAAGGGAAGGCATCACTGGGTACCAGGCAACCACTTTTTATTTTATATGGTTTAGGAACCGGCTGACTCAATGGAAATGGATGCTAAGGCAGCAGCAGGCGTCTCCAAGTCCCTCCCGCCCGCGCCTCCCAGCATGGGCAAGTGGAACATGGACAGGCGTCAGACAGAAATTGGAGCGGGGTCAGTGCGCCAGCAAACCTATGACAATCCATACTTCAAGTCACAGTATGGCTTTCCCCCTGAGGAAGATGACGATGAGCAGGGGGAAAGTTACACTCCCCGATTCAGCCATCATGTCAATGGCAATCGGTGAGAGCCTAGGGACACCACTAGAAGGGTAACTTGAAGACCTCACTGCAGTGGAGCCTGGGTGAGGGTTAATCAGGAGGTCGGAGAAGTCTGAATGCCCTTATGGTCCTGCCATCCCTAGAGGGTGGTGCTTTGATGTAGGCATTTAGGAATTGCGGGAAGGGAAGAGTGTCTGCAATGTAGTGTAAGGCCCACACACCCATGAGTAGGTACCTGTGCCTGGGACTCATAGGTGCCACTGTGCATTCAAGGGCTCAAAAGCTGCTGCGGCCCAACAGCTTGAAACTGGCAAGCGACTCAGATGCAGAGTCAGACTCCCGAGCGAGCTCCCCCACCTCCACCATCTCCAACAACAGCAGCGAGGGCTTCGGGGGCATCGTGTCTTTTGCCAGTAAGTGCCTTCAACCCTCTCATGGTTCTGTCCCATTTTCCCTCCAGTAGGGCCTGAGTGTGGCAGGTGCTGCTTAGAACTTCAGATACAGGCCTGGGTTGGTGTTACCAACCCCCATTCAGGTCACTTGAGTGATAATGAATGAGATATTTTTAAGGGAGATCAATAAAGGACAGGGACAGAGATCTTACTATGCTTATACCTGGAGGTTTCCGTCTATTTCAGGCAAGACAGCTGGTCAACTGACAAATAATCATTACACTTAAAAGCATACACTTGTACTTATATTTTGTGGAAATATTCTGGTCAGATTTTATTTAGGTATATAATATCTGGTGAAGAGCATTTTCGTGAACATGTATCGAAATCTATATGACACTGACTTTTGTGCTTAAAGAATATTTCCAGAAATGAGGGAGGGTATCAGTTAAAGACTGAAGACAGACTAGGGATCAGAGAAAGCCAACATATGGAATGATTGTGATTGTGAGTTTTTTCAGAAGCTGGGGAGGGACAGCACCAACTTCAGTCCTGAAGTGCACTAACTGCTGGCTTTTGTGCCCAATCAGCAACAGATGAGCAACTTGGATATCATCATGAGAGGTGGTCGGAGAAAGCTGTTGTTGGGTTTTGAGCAGTCCTGGCAGTGGTCCCTTTTTGTTTGTCCCGAGTTAGACTTAGTCTTTTCTAAGATAGAGCAGAGGCCCTGGGATTGTGTCTGAAAAGGAGGAAGGTGAAGATGACACAGTCGTTGGAGTGTGACGCTTTCATTCTTTATCCCCCAACTCATTGCTCTCACACTGTCCCCTTGATAGGCAGCCTGTATCGGAACCACAGTACAAGCTTCAGTCTTTCAAACCTCACACTGCCCAGCAAGGGTGCCCGGGAGAAGATCACACCCTTCCCTAGTCTGAAAGGTAACTGTGGCCCTCCTTCTGCCCAACCAGGATTTTCTGGGAAATATTTCAGGCCTGTGGGTGCTTGTCAAGAGCCCTGTGTGTGATGAATCATTTGATCTGGCTATTGCCCCTCCTATCGCTTCTCATGGCTTTTATTGCACATTGTGGGCTTTTGCTGGTTTTCAGTTGGAAACTATCTTGGTAGGTAAAAAGAAAGCCCTGTTACCTCATTTAGCATAATGGCAACTGTGGGATTACTGCTGCCTCTGGGGGAACTTGTCAGGGGTACATAATTAAACTTGGTATCATCAGCTGCCACTGGTCACCTACACAGTTCCTACTGCATGGACTTAGCAGCTGGCCCACCAGGGATGGTTGTGAAGAGCCTGGCAGTGTTCATGGAGTCAGGAAGCCTATTACTTTGGCTTCAAGTCAACACAGGGCCTGTGGGTGAGCCAGGTAATATTGGTTGGCTTCTCGGGGGCAGTTAAGACCTTATTTGATTTTCATCAAGAGACCTTATTTGATCTCTGACAGTTTTCAGGGTTCTTCTGAATTTACTCTGACTTCTGATTGTTTCCTCTGGATATGGTGCTAAAATAGTTAATCACAGTAGAAAAGCACAGTGGGAAGCAGCTCCATATGTTTTTACTGATCTCTCTTTGCAGTGGTTAAAAATGTCAGGAATAGAAGGAATGTTCTTTGGTGGGGTTGGAAACATAGGGTACATGGGCAGCAGGGCATCATAGCTGGTAGTGCAGGGAACTAACTGGTGCTGTAGAATCCGTACATGGCTTGGCAGGTTAGGGATGGAAAAGTGTTAGTTTACCAGCTTTAATTTGGTGCGGTTGCAGAGGAGAACAATCAAAATGCTTTCATTGCATGCTGATGCTTCACCGCATTTGCTGCACTTGTCACTTCCATCCACCACTGCCCATCCTTACACCCTCATCCCCCTTCCCACGGCAGGGTCTGCAAGATAGGTCTCTTCCCTTTACATACCTGCAGGCCCTCTGGACCCCCGTGCTGGGTGTGTTAGGAACCCGTGGCCCTCCTGTTGTGCATGTGCCTCTTTAGTCCCTGAAGGCTCTTGTGTCATTTACCCTGCCCCTGGCTTTGAGAGGCCATAGTCTTAAAGATGGTCTTTCCTTGAGCTGTGGTTGTCTCCTGGTCACCTGGCTTCCAGCTCTGAGGTGCCTAAACACCGAGGTTATGTACACTAAGCTTCAGGAGAATGCTCAGATGATCTGACTTTCAGTTCCATTGAGGGGTTTAGGGGTTTGGTATTGTGGTGCACCTACTAATTGTGTATTTTGTGTCCCAGTATTTGGGCTAAATACTCTAATGGAGATTGTTACTGAAGCCGGCCCTGGGAGTGGTGAAGGTGGGTCTTGCCCGTGAGCTGTGCATGATCTTTTCCTAGCATCTTCTATGCCTGCTTGAGGGCCATCCTCCTCATGGAGCAAGCAATATCACATGCGTGACCTGCCTGGCTCCGTGCCCCTTGGTGCCCGTGCTTGCCCATGGGGCATGCTGCTGGTGCATGTGGAGTGACCCAAGTCTCCATCCCCACCTCCTCCACACTGCCATAGCTGGTCTCCCTGTGTGATGCCCTGGTGCTGCCCTCACCCAGTCTTCTGGGGAACGGTTGTGGACATGACTACCTAGGGCTGTGCTGATCCTGCCTCCAGACCACAACAGTGACGCCTCTCATTCCTGCCCTCCCCGTCTGCAGGAAACAGGAGGGCCCTAGTAGACCAGAAACCATCTGTCATCAAACACAGCCTGACAGTGAAAAGAGAGCCGCTGTCACCCCAGGGTCGATCGAGCAACTCTAGGTAATAAATAGCAGGGCTATTTTGAAAGTTCTCTCATAGAGGTACATTCCTGTACCAAACGTTAGGGATGCTCAAGAGTGGGAGAGAAGCTTTTAGTCGGGGAGATGAAACCGTTGTTGCCAGCACTCCCAGTGGGTCATAGCTCCCATACAAGGGTTGTATGGCTCAGTGTTGAGGAGAGTGAAACAGCCCTAGTGGGTGCTTGTGACAACCAGGTGATCTGGGGAGAGAGGGAATTCAGTGGACTTGGCCCCTGGAGGCAAGCATCTAGGCTGCTGAAGGGTGGGCTGCTCTGCAAAGAAGCTGGAGACCACAAAAGTGTGTGGACCCCATAGTGCAAGCCAGCAGTTCTTGAAGGAGGTGGTGCACAGCGTGCTGGACGGCCAGGGCGTTGGCTGGCTCAGTGTGAAGAAGGTGCGACGGCTGTTGGAGAGTGAGCAGCTGCGTGTCTTTGTCCTGAGCAAGCTGAACCGCACAGTGCAGTCAGAGGATGATGCCCGGCAGGATGTCATCCCAGATGTGGTCAGTGTTGGGAGTTGGAATCAACTGGGAAGAGGGGCTTGGACACCAGAGGTGGTTTTGCCAACTCTCGGCCTGGGCTGTTGTTGCAGGAGATCAGTCGGAAGGTGTACAAGGGAATGTTAGACCTGCTCAAATGCACCGTGCTCAGTCTGGAGCAGTCCTATGCCCACGCAGGTTTGGGGGGCATGGCCAGCATCTTTGGGCTTCTGGAGATCGCCCAGACCCACTACTATAATAAAGGTAGGGAAAGAATGTGAATCTATCCGCTTGACAAGTTTCCCAGTGCCAAGCTGCTGCCCATCCGGCTTGGGATTTTATTTCTAGTGCATGTTTATGTGTACTAGGTATTTTCCTGTCATGAGATGTCAGCTTATCTTTCCTTGCACTTCGTCCATTCCATATCCTCCTGTGTCCTTGCTTCTCCTACCTTACTTCCTTATCTTGATTCCCGAGCACTGTTTCTTTTGACCTCCTCCTATATTCTTTTTCTCAGAACCAGACAAGCGGAAGAAAAGTCCAACAGAGAGTATAAATACACCAGTTGGCAAGGATCCTGGCCTGGCTGGGCAGGAGGACCCAAAGGCTATGGCACAGCTGAGAGTTCCCGAGCTGGGACCTCGAACACCAAGTGCCACAGGAAAGGGTCCTAAGGAACTAGACACCAGAAGCTTGAAGGAAGAGAATTTTGTAGCATCTGTCGGTATGTGTCACTGTGGCATGGTGGAAGGGCTCTGCCTTCTTTCAGGCTGTCCAGAACCCCACCTTCCTTTTCCCCATGCTTTGCTTCATAGAGAGGGAGATAGGCCTGTGTCCACTTCTAAAGGTCTTTCTCTATACTTCACTTTCCCTTATGTTTTATATACAGCCACCCCTCAACTACATCTTAAAGGAAGAGTGGAAGTTTTACTTAGAGGACCCAGTGAGGCTTAGGGACCCTGAGCCATACTCCTAGTCCCTCTTTTTATTTACACCTGGATTTCTTCACATATGGAGAGATCACATGAGTTCCTGGAAGCTCCCAGGAAGTTTATGGGCTATACCATCTTTGGGGTATAAAACCATGATCATCTCGGTCTCTAAACTAGTTTTTCCCTAACAAGCCATTATCATGCTCCTCTGGGGTGTATCAGGCAACCCCATTTCCCTGGGTTCTGAACCTTCAGGTGTAGATTTCTGAGCCAGCTTTTCTTTAAATCTTTTCTTACTGGACTTGGTTAAGGGCTTGTTTACCTTTGGCGTTTCTCCATCCTCTCTTAAGGCAGTGCGTTAGTGAGCTCTCTGGGTGTCACCTCTGTTGACTTACTCCCCACTTGACCTTGAGTCTCTAGGTTGTGTCTTTCTTTTTCTGATTCTGGATCCCTAGGCAGTATGCTTCTAGCAGATGCCTCTCTGTCACAAGTGTTAGCAGTTGCCTTCTGCTTCCGTAAAGGGTAATGAGGAATCTGTTTACTTTTTAGGGAAGCTACACTTCTTTAGCCTGTAGAATGTTGTCCAAGAGTCATTCATTCCTGCCTTTTCTCCTGCCTAGTAGTGGTCTAGGAAAAGTACTGACCTGCAAGTCTGGAGGTCTAGAGTTTTAGTCCTGTATCTGCCCCCATCTAGGAATTCAATAGTGGGCAAATCCCTTCCCCTCTCAGGGTCTCTGTGTCCTCATCTGGGAAAGGAGGAGAATAGACTAAATAGACTTTGAAGTTCTTCCAGGAAAAGAATTGTGATGATCAGTATTCTCTCTCCTCTCTTCCTACTAAGATGCTATTCTTGACCACCTAATGTTCTCTGTCACCTCTACTTCTCTGGAAGTATTTTCCAGATGATTGGCTAAGAATGGGTCTCCTGGGGCAGGTGCTGATTCTGAGGGTGAGTTAGGTTATTTGATAGCCATGAGGAAGAATGCTAATTGCCTGCATGAGTGGCCTCTGTCCAATCCAGTGAATCAAACAGATTTGTGCTCATGCTTCTGAAACCCGTTGGCTGCTAGAGGTGTCATCAGTCTTACCTGGAATCTTTAAAAATTGCTGTTGCCCAGCTGATTGGGCAGGGAGAGCATGGTGTGGGGGACGTTTAAGTTGATCCTGAGTTCTGTGATCTCGAGCAAGTGCTCCAGCCTCTTTAGGATGGTCTTCCTCATGCCAAAATGAAGGAGCTGCTTAAAGGCTCTTCTGGCTCTAACATTCTGCAGAGTTTTTACTGCTGCATTGACATTAGGGTTAAGAATTTGGAGTCTGCTTCATGGGGAGAAGGTGTGAGATCTCTTGATTTTTAATCCCCCAAAGAGAAGATCTCTTTTTATCTCTTCATTTGTAATCCTGTGCTTGAGGCTGAATCAAGTTGGGTGGGTGGGTTTCCATTTTGTCTGTCTGACCAGCCTTTGACTCTGTCTGTCTTTCTTTCCTGCTTACATTGCATCTGGGGTAGAATTGTGGAACAAGCACCAGGAAGTGAAAAAGCAAAAAGCTTTGGAAAAACAGAGTAAGGAACAAATGCCCCTTCCTATTCCCAAGTCTCCCATACCTGCCAACTCCACAGGCCCAGCTGGGGCAGGCTTCCTTTGTCAGCCCCACTCCAAATTTGCCTTGGGGGGTATTTGGAATGAAAGCAGGTAGGTAGTATGTGATTCATAGGTATGTGGCTTGTAGGCTGCTGCTTTCCCCCTCCCCCCATAGCAATCAGGCTGCAGTCAGGGTGTTGAGTAAAATCCCTTAGAACTTTGTTCTCTGTTGCATCAGAGTTGGTGGGGAGAACATTTGCCTATCTCAGTGCCCCTCATTGGCTGATCTCTCCCTCACCCATTAGAAGGCCTGTGGCAACAGTTGGCAGAGATGGTTGCTGTCCCTCTGTGTTGAGTCTGTAGCTTCCAACTCTCTCTGGTGGCTTGCCTAGGCACGCTTTCTTGCTTTCTGTCATTCTGTCCTTCTGCCATACCATTGTGTGTGGGTGGGGAAAACGGGTGGCTTTGATCTCAAATGTAGAAGTTGTAGGGTGGGGGTAGGTAGGTGGTGTCCACAGAAACAGCTGATGTTTCTCAGGCTCATTGGCCCCACCTTTTCTAGCCCCTTTAGACACATTTGTTTGGGAAGCCCTGAGTGACCTGGCTTCACACACCAGTGAAACTCTGACTCTAAGTGCAGTGGAATGTGGTTTAGACGTATGTTTGTGGAGCTTCCCATTTTAGGATGATTCCCCCAGAATTTTCTCAGGTTGAGAAAATGGCTGCAGAACCCCTTGAGACCAGGTTTAATTTGTCCCACTTGGTTCTTGAGGCATCTGGAGGCTTCTTCAGTGGGTCCTGGATGGGGCTAGTTGCTGGAAAGGTGCCTGGAACATGCCAACTAGGTCTGGGGCCAGGCTGTGCTGCTGTCCCACCCCCTTCCCCAGCCTGTCCCAGCCTCTGTGTGCTGAATGACAGTCTTCCCCCGCTCAGGGCCTGAAATAGTCAAGCCTGTCTTTGACATTGGTGAGACAGAGGAGAAGTCCCAGATCAGCGCAGACGGTGGTTTGAGCCTGACCTCTGGTTCCCAGGTTTGTGACAACCCTGTTGAGACTTGCAGGCATTAAGTTTCTATCTCAGAGTACTTGTGGAAGTTAAAAAAAAAAAATGACAACCATGAAACAACATGAATATCCAAAATAGGGGAATAATGAAATAAGTATAATATATCCATGTAATATAATCTTGGTATCCATTAAAGACTGTATTTTCAAAAATTTAGTGACATGGCGGAATGTCTATATGCAATATGATTCCAATTTTGTTTTTAAGTTTTAAGAAGAAACTGAAAGTAAATAAACTAAAAACTTTACATGATTTATGTAGATAGGTTTATGGCTTATTTTTGTTTCTTTAATCTTCCATGTTTTTTCCAAGTGACAATATATTTCTTTAATGTTATTCTCTTTATTATGTAAATCACATAATTTTATATTCAGGAAAAAAAATAATTTCTCATGCCCTGTCCAGCAATAAAAGTAGAAGGGTGGAGAAGGGGAGAAGGAAGGAGATATGGTATTTCTTAGGGAAACTGAGAGTAGACTGGGCAATCTCCCCTAGTGTGTCTGAGTCCCTGTGTCTCGTTTCAGAGGGCTGATTCAGGCTCTGTCATCGGTGTGAGTCCAGCTGTTATGATCCGAAGTTCAAGTCAGGATTCTGAAGTCAGCACCGTGGTAGGGGAACACCATACTGGCATCGTGGTGGGTGTGGGGGGTGGGTTCCCCTTTGGAAAAGGGGGTTGTTTTCTTCTCTGGAGGCTGCTCTTAGTCCCAGGTCAGCTCAGTCCTCATGGTGAAGATGTTACGTGTTAAGGTCTGTGTACGTGGGTCAGACCCTGAGATTCACCCAGGGCTCCTCCTCATCTTTAAAAGAAGGTATTTTCAGAGGCTGTTTGACACACCTTTGAAATCTTTTACTTTTTTATGGCAGTAGAGAGCTCTAATAGCGTGGAATTTCTGGGACCCTACACTTGTGAATATCCCTTATGACCTTTTTTCATTTCCAGGTGAGTGATAGTTCTGGAGAGACCCTTGGAGCAGACAGTGAGCTGAGTAGCACCGCAGGTGATGGGCCCGGTGGTGAGGGCAGCACCCGCTTGGTGAGCTCTCGGGGCACTTTGTCTGACAGTGAAATTGAGACCAACTCTGCTACCAGTGCCATCTTTGTAAGTTATGTTTACTAACAAAAGGAGACCATTTAGAAACGAATGCAAAGTTAGGAGGCAAGTAGAAAGAAAAGAGGAATAAGGAATGGATAATCCCCATGTATTTGGCTTTAAAGAAAATGTTCCTAAAGGCTTTTTTCAGCATCACTTGACTTTTAGGATCTTTGTCTGAATCACTGACAAGTTAGGCTCCCCTGCCAGTCAAGTAAGAGCTTCAAATCCTATGTAAAAATAACCCTATGTTTAAAATAGACATAGTGATACCTTTGTGGCAGGGCAATTAAAGCTCTCATTTTGCCCTACTCTGCCTATTTCTATGGACCAGTCTAGTTTAATTTTGGTCAATACTCTATTTATATAGCACCTTAAAATAGCATTTCATTTTAGTATGTTCCTAACTGATTTGAAGTTTTCATTTGATTAATAAACATCATTTAAGTGATTTACTAAGTGCCAGATTCTATACTAAAGAAACAGGGATGAATAAGGCATGATTCCCACTCTCAAGAAGTTTGCAATTCAGTATGCTGTTTTGACTAATCTCTTTTGGTAAGGGGAAGCCTAAGGGAGAAAGGAACTTGCCCTGGGTCACACAGTAAGCCAGTGGTCAGTTGGAATTAATTCTTTTTAGTCCTTGCCTTTAGACACTGCTTTTCAGTGTATGTATGCCTCTTTAGGTGGCATCGAGCATTCTGATATACTTACCACTTCATTAGACAGTTGCGAATGGATATTCTCTACAGGAGCTCATAAGTCCTCATCTTTGGTGTGTGGGGTCAATGGAAGATGAGATTTAAATGAAATGAGTTAACTTCACACTGGTGATCATTCCTACCTCCTTTTGTATATGTATTTCTAAAAGAGCAAGTGACATCCCAGATGAAAGTAAGGAATAGGATTGAGAGTCAGCAGAGCCATTCGAGTTAATGGACCTTAACTCACTCTGAGTCTAAACAGATCATTTTAATAAAAGTACTTTAAATCCTCCCAGTGTGTTTCCATTCTGGAGGTTAAGAGGAACACTGTGAAGTAGTAGTCTTGCAAAGAAGCCATTCAGCTGTGTGCTGCCTCTTCTGGCACCTTCCTGGGATAAATTCTTACTTGTCCCATCCTGATAGACAAGGACTGTTTGTACAGTTGAGTTGCTGAGGGCAGTGCCTAAATTTCTTGGCTCTCAGAAGGCTGTTTTAGCAATAACTAAATTATATTGTCAGTATTTTCCATTGAACAAAGTGTTCGGCTGAGACCCAGGACACTGACATTCAGACACACTAATTAGGTGCTGCCTGGTAACTTCTGATCAGCTGTTGCTCTGCTTCTGCTGTTGCACTTGTTGTGAAATGGGCATGAAGCATATCTCTTACCTGGTTGAAAGTCTTTTCTGAGTAAATAGAAGTCTGATGTTGTAGAAGGGACAGGTAAAGTTAGTGATATTTCTAAGGGATGATAGGAAAGAGGAAATAAACATATCTCGAATACCATTCATGTGCCAGGCACTATTAAGTGCTTTACATGTATTTTATAATTTAATTTTTATAATAGTCATATGAGGTAGGTATATCATAACATTTCTTTTACAGGTAAGGAAAATTAGACTCAGAGAAGCTAAGTTTCGTGCCTAAGGTCACACAGTTATAAGAGTTAGAGATCTGAACTTTGGTCGATCTGACTTTAAATCCAATGTGCTTTCTACTGTGTTATGCTGCTGCAGAGAATTTAATTTTTTTTAGAGCCAAGAGTCTTTTAGAGACCAAAGGGTAAAGGTAAGTCAAAATTAAAAAAACTTTATTCCATGTTTTAGGAGGCAGTAACAGAAAGCAGGATTATCAGGTTGACCTCTGTCAAATCCTTGAGGTGACCAGAGTAGCAAAAGGAGGACTTACTGGGGTATATGTCACTAATGGATGGTGACTGGCAACTGTGTAGGCTTCTTAAAGAGCTGCTTAGTTTCCTGTACCATATTCACTGGTACTTGGGTAGCTGACTACGACCTCTTCTCTGTAGGGTAAATCCCACAGTTTGAAGCCAAGTGTAAAGCAGAAGCTGGTGGGCAGCCCAGTTTGCTCTTCTGAAGATGCAAGCCAGCGAGTGTATCTCTACGAGGGACTCCTAGGTGAGAGACAGCTGGGGGAGGCCCCTTGCACTGGATGAAAGATGGATGCAGCCAGGGAAGAGAGGAGCACTGGATGAAGAGCTGCTTGGCTTTTTGTTGATCCCAATGCTGATGTTAGAGGGCATTTTTATATCTGAAGCAGGCAACCTACTGGGTCTGGAAAAAGTGGTTGAGCACTAGAAGAGACTGCTTTTTGGTATTAATCAACAGCCTCTGTCTTCCTGTCTTTCTTTCCTTTCTTGCTACCATGGTCCTTCCTGCTCACAAATTGGCAGGAAGGGACAAAGGATCCATGTGGGACCAGTTAGAGGATGCTGCTATGGAGACCTTTTCTATAAGTAACCACCTTTCTTTGTGTGCTGTGTTCATCCCTCTTCCTTGGGAGGGACTGGGCCTCATGTGGAGGCAGCTGGGGCTGGTGGCAAGAATGTCAGATTCGAGGTGCAGAGGCTCACGTTCCCTTTGTCCTGGAAGAATTTGTCATGACTCCATTTTATCTGAAGTTTGCCTTTTATTTTGGTTTGGCAACTGTATTCTTTATATGTTAAATAAGCCCTAAAAAAATTCTATTCTACACAGGCAAAGAGCGTTCTACTTTATGGGACCAAATGCAGTTCTGGGAAGATGCGTTCTTAGATGCTGTGATGCTGGAGAGAGAAGGGATGGGTATGGATCAGGGTCCCCAGGAAATGATCGACAGGTATGAGGCTTAGGAAACCCTTAGGAAATAATAGAAATTCAGCATCTTCACAGTTAGTTCTGTGGTCTCCTACCTGAGGGCTGATTTATCCCTGGTCTCCTGCTTAGGTACCTATCCCTGGGAGAACATGACCGGAAGCGCCTAGAAGATGATGAAGATCGTTTGCTGGCCACACTTTTGCACAACCTCATCTCCTATATGCTACTGATGAAAGTAATGCCTATTTTGCTTATATCCAGCTACTGCTGATGCTAGAAGGGCAAGGCTTGTTCCTGTCACCTAAATTCTGGGGCAGTTGGGAAGTTGTCAGCATCTTACTAGGGCTGTCTTCCTGATTGAAAGTCTGAGGCCTCCCTGCAGCTTCACACGTGATCCATTTGTCTGAAGCAGTCAGGCTCTTGTGCTAAGGAATGTTGTAAAGATGATCGGTGATTCCATAATCCTTGTTTATTTTGAATTTTAAATAGGTTTCCTTTGCTAAGTAGTTTTAGGATGATGCCAGTAAAGCTCTCCACAGAATACAATGAATTAAAAAAATCTTAAGTTGTAGGTTCTAAAACCTTAAAAAGGTGCTTAAAATTCACTTTTCAGCACTAGTGCTTTATCATATAGAATTTTCCATAGATGTAAAAAGTTACCCATTAAAAAATTAATGGTAGGTTCTAGTTTAACTTGGTTGTACTTTGTTTTTATAGCTATGGAAGAAGTATGTTATCAAATAGAAGAGCCCTGCTCTAAAAGGAAAACATAAGTTTGGGGGTGGTGAGTAGAAGAGAGTTGTTTTGAGAATGAGCCCCTGAATTTCTCCTCCTGTTCTCCCATCCTCTTGAAATGTGAAGGTCTTAGTTGATCAAATGCAGAGAGAGCCCTACAGACCCACTTGGTCTGTTCCACTTGCTTTGTAAGGTTCACTCTGCTCTGTTGGAACTCCAGAGGTTCCAGTTAACTCTGGTTGGGAAAGGGTGGTAGTCCTTAACCCTTGGAAGGGTTCTCAGCTACAGCTGAGTCCAGAATGTTGCTACTCTTGGTTGATGTTCTGAATTATAGTCTGAGGAGTGCAGGGGTGTTTAGGCCCCTTAGGCATGAATGTTACGGCATTGGTTGGGGATAGGGAGGAAGTATCTGCTTGAACCAGAACTGCTCCAAAAGTCCCCTTTCTGCAGAAGCCTCCCAGAGGCAGGACCAGGGCTTTTCTTCCCAGCCTAGGGGCAGAATATGCAGTTGAATATTTTCTCTAACTTTCAGTGATGTGGACTTCCCAAATTCTAGTTCTCTCAAATAGTAGGAAACTTATTTGCACATTCTATCTATCTCAGTGGAGAGAAGAGCAGATCCTTTGTTAAGACTCCATTTTGGCTTTCCAGGTAAATAAGAATGACATCCGGAAGAAAGTGAGGCGCCTAATGGGAAAGTCCCATATTGGGCTTGTGTACAGCCAGCAAATCAATGAAGTACTTGATCAGCTGGCAAACCTGGTAAGCAGAGCTGGGCCATCCCTTAGGCTCCACTTCCACTATACTTGTCAGCCTCCCAGGCTTGAGCCCTGTGGCCAAATGCAGAGGTTTCCCCATGGGTCCTTTCTTGGCTCGTATTTTAAAAACTATGTGTTTGAAAATAGGGCTTTGACTCTAGATGAGGCTTTAGCCCTTCTGCTCCATGATAGGGTACTCTACTTTACCCGTCCTAGTGCAGCCATTTCATTGTATAGTCTGTGGCCCCTGAGGACCCATGAGGGAAAAACTCTTTTCACAGTAACACTGGAATGTTACTTGCTTTTCTTCCTGAGCTGACATTTGCACAGATGGTGCAAAAGCATTGGTGGGTACAACCACTGGCACCTCCTGGTGGCCATTGTCACCCTCTGTACCCTCAGTTTACAAAACATAACAGAACAGTTTCAGTATGTGTGTCCTTGTGAAGCAGCCAAGATCATTAATTTTATTAAATCTGATCATCGATTATACATCTTCTTAATATTCTGGGTGGCAAAATGAGAAATAGACACAAAGCGTGTCTGCTGTAAACTAAAATACCACGATTTTTTCAAGGAAAAGCAGTTTGTGACTGTGTGTACTGCAAGGTGAACTCGCAGCTTTGTTCCTGGGACATCATTTTTACTTGAAAGAATGACTAATAAACTGTGGTTATTCAGAGTTGGGTATTTGGCAGACTTTGAACATGAAGCTTCTTAACGACTTTTCTACTGAGATTGATTATGATATTAGTGAATATGATTTCTTTGATAATGTGTCATGAAATATGTCAACATTTGGAAGGGATGCTTAACATAGAGAACCAGTGTTTTCCACATGACCACTGTGCGTTGGTACAGTGGGTAAAAAGATACACTCAAAATTAAGGCAGACAAATAGATTTTTTTTAAAGGTACGATTGATATACACTCTTACAAACATTTCACATGAAAAAACAATGTGGTTACTACATTTACCCATATTTTCAAGTCCCCACCCATACCCCACTGCAGTCACTGTCCATCAGAGCAGCAAGATGCCACAGATCCACTATGTGCCTTCTCTGTGCTACACTGTTCTCCCCGTGATCCCCCACACCATGTGTACTAAACATAATACCTCTCAATCCCCTTCTCCCTCCATCCCCACCTGCCCTCCCATACCCCTCCACTTTGGTAACCACTAGTCCATTCTTGGAGTCTCTGAGTCTGCTGCTGTTTTTTTCCTTCAGTTTTTCTTTGTTGTTACACTCCACAAATGAGGGAAATTATTTGGCATTTGTCTTTCTCCACCTGGCTTATTTCACTGAGCTCAATGTCTTCCAGCTCCATCCATTTTATTGCAAATGGTAGGATTTGTTTGTTTCTTATGGCTGAACTCCATTGTGTACTCCACTGTATACAGGCCACAGTACTCCATTGTGGACCACATCTTCTTTATCCATTCATCTACTGATGGACACTTGGGTTGCTTCCATATCTTGGCTATTGTAAAAAGTGCTGTAATAAACATAGGGGTACATATGTCTTTTTGAATCTGAGAAGTTGTATTCTTTGGGTAAATTCCAAGGAGTGGGATTCCAGGGTCAAATGGTATTTCTATTTTTAGTTTTTTGAGAAACCTCCATATTGCTTTCAAAATGGTTGAACTAGCTTACATTCCCACCAACAGTGTATGAGGGTTCCCCTTTCTCCACATTCTCACTAACATTTGTTGTTCTTAGTCTTTTCAATACTAGCCATCCTTACTGGTGTGAGGTGTTATCTCATTGTGGTTTTAATTTGCATTGCCCTGATGATTAGTGATGTGGAGCATCTTTTCATGTGTCTGTTGGCCATCTGAATTTCTTTTTTGGAGAACTGTCTCTTCATATCCTCTGCCCATTTGTGAATCAGGTTATTTGCTTTTTGGGTGTTGAGGTGTCTAATTTCTTTATGTATTTTGGATGTCAACCCCTTGTCAGATATATCATTTACAAATATATTTTCCCATACTGTAGAATGCCTTTTTGTTCTGTTCATGGTGTCCTTTACCATACAGAAACTTTTTGGTTTGATATAGTCCCATGAGTTCATTTTTGCTTTTGTTTCCCTTTCTCGAGGAGATGCATTTAGGAAGAAGTTGCTCATGCTTATATTCAGGAGATCTTTGCCTATGTTGTCTTCTAAGAGGTTTATGGTTTCATGACTTACATTCAGGTCTTTGATCCATTTTGAGATTACTTTTGTGTATGGGGTTAAACAATAATCCGGTTTCACTCTCTTGCATATAGCTGCCCAGTTTTGCCAACACCAACTGTTGAAGAGGCTGTCATTTCCTCATTGTATGTCCATAGCTCCTTTATCATATATTAATTGACCATATATGATTGGGTTTATATCAGGACTCTCTAGTCTGTTCCATTGGTCTCTGGGTCTGTTCTTGTGCCAGTACCAAATTGTCTTGATTACTGTGACTTTGTAGCAGAGCTTGAAGTTGGGGAGCATAATCCTCCAGCTTTATACTTCCTTCTCAGAATTCCTTTGGCTATTCAAAGTCTTTTGTGGTTCCATATGAATTTTAGAACGATTTTCTCTCGTACTTTGAAGAATGCTGTTGGTATTTTTATAGGAATTGCATTAAATCTGTAGGTTGCTTTGGACAGGATGGCCATTTTGACAATATTAATTCTTCCTGTCCATGAGCACGGGATGTGTTTCCATTTATTGGTATCTTCTTTAATTTCTCTCATGAGTGTCTTCTAGTTTTCAGGGTATAGGTCTTTCACTTCCTTGATTAGGTTTATTCCTAGGTATTTTATTCTTTTTGATGCAACTGTGAATGAAATTGTTTTCCCGATTTCTCTCTCTGTTAGTTCATTGATAGTGTATAGGAATGCCACAGATTTCTGTGTATTAATTTTGTATCCTGCAACTTTGCTGAGTTCAGATATTAGCTCAAGTAGTTTTGGAGTGGAGTCTTTATATTTTTTTACGTACAACATCATGTCATCTGCGAACCGGGACAGTTTAACTTCTTCCTTGCCAATCTGGATGCCTTTTATTTCTTTGTGTTGTCTGATTACTGTGCCTAGGACCTCCAATGCTATGTTGAATAGATGTAGTGAAAATGGACATCGTTGTCTTGTTCCTGATCTTAAAGGAAAAGCTTTCAGCTTCTCGCTGTTAACTATGATGTTGGCTGTGGGTTTGTCATATATGGCCTTTATTACGTTGAGGTACTTGCCCTCTATACCCATTTTGTAAAGAGTTTTTATCATGAATGGATGTTGAATTTTATCAAATGCTTTTTCAGCATCTATGGAGATGATCATGTAGTTTTTGTTTTTTTTTGTTGATGTGGTGGATGATGTTAATGGATTTTCGAATGTTGTACCATCCTTGCATCCCTGGAATAAATTCTACTTGATCATAATGGATGATCCTTTTGATATATTTTTTAATTTGGTTTCCTAATATTTTTTTGAGTGTTTTTGCATCTGTGTTCATGAGGGATATTCATCTGTAATTTTCTTTTTTTTATGGTGTCTTTGCCTGGTTTTGGTATTAGAGAGATGCTCGCGTCATAGAATGAGTTTAGAAGTATTCTGTCTTCTACTCTTTGGAAAACCTTAAGGAGGATGGGTGTTAGGTCTTCATAAATGTTTGATAAAATTCAGTGGTGAAGCCATCCAGGGGTTTTGTTCTTAGGTGGGTTTTTGATTACCAGTTCAATTTTGTTGCTGGTAATTGGTCTGTTCAGATTTTCTGTTTCCTCCTTGGTCTTTGGAAGATTGTATTTTTTTAGAAAGTTGCCCATTTCTTCTAAGTTAGCCAGTTTGTTAGCATATAATTTTTCACACTATTCTCTAATAATTCTTTTTATTTCTGTGGTGTCTGTAGTGATTTTTCCTTTCTCATTTCTAATTATGTGTGTAGACTCTCCTTTTTTCTTAATAAGTCTGGCTAGGGGTTTATCTATTTTGTTTATTTTCTCAAAAAACCAGCTCTTCCTTTCATTGATTGGTTCTATTGTTTTATTCTTCTTGATTTTATTTATTTCTGCTGTAATCTTTATTATGTCCCTCCTTCTACTGACTTTGGGCCTCATTTGTTGTTCTTTTTCTAGTTTTGTTAATTGTGAGTTTAGACTGTTCATATGCGATTGTTCTTCTTTCCTGAGGTAGGCCTGTATTGCAATATACTTTTCTCTTAGCATGGCCTTGGCTGTGTCCCACAGATTTTGCAGTGTTGAATTATTGTTGTCATTTGTCTCCATATATTGCTTGATCTCTGTTTTTATTTAGTCATTGATCCATTGGTTATTTAGGAGCATGTTGTGAAGCCTCCATTTGTTTATGGGATTTTTCATTTTCTTTGCGTAATTTATTTGTAGTTTAATAAACTTTGTAGTCTGAGAAACTGGTTGGTACAATTTCAATCTTTTTGAATTTACCGAAGCTCTTTTCCGCCTTAGTATATGATCTATTCTTGAAGATGTTCCATGTGCACGTGAGAATAATGTGTATTCTGCTGCTTTTAGGTGTAGAGTTCTATAGATGTCTGTTAGGTCCATGTGTTCTAATGTGTTGTTCAGTGCCCCTGTCTCCTTACTTAATTTCTGTCTGGTTGATCTGTCCTTCAGAATGAGTGGAGTGTTGAAGTCTCCTAGAATGAATGCATTGCATTCTATTTCCCCTTTTAACTCAGTATTTGTTTCACATATGTAGGTGCTCCTGTGTTGGGAGCAAAGATGTTTATAATAGTTATATCCTCTTGTTGGACTGACTCCTTTATCATTATCTAATGTCCTTCTTTGTCTCTTGTTACTTTCCTTGTTTTGAAGTCTGATTTGTCTGATACAAGTAATGCAGTTTCTGCTTTTTTCTCCCTATTAGTTGCATGAAATATCTTTTTCCATCCCTTCACTGTTAGTCTATGTATGTATGTCTTTGGGTTTAAAGTGACTCTCTTGTAGACAGCATAAAGATGGGTTTTGTTTTTTCATCCATTCAGTGACTCTGTGTCTTTTGATTGGTGCATTCAGCCCATTTACATTTAGGGTGATTATCGATAGGTATGTACTTTTTGCCATTGCAGGCTTTAGATTTGTGTTTACCAAAGGTTCAGGTTAACTTCCTTACTGTCCAGGAGTCTAACTTTACTCACTTAATATGCTATTACAAACACAATCTAAAGGTTCTTTTTTTTTCCTCCTTTTTCTTCCTCCTCCATTCTTTATATATTAGGTATCATGTTCTATACTCTTTGTCTATCCTTTGATTGACTTTGGGGATAGTTAATTTAATTTTGCATTTGCTTAGTAATTAGCTGTTCTACTTTCTTTACTGTGGTTTTATTATCTCTGGTGACAACTATTAAACCTTAGGAACACTTCCATCTATAGCAGTCCCTCTAAAATAGACTGTAGAAATAGTTTGTGGGAGGTAAATTCTCTCAGCTTTTGCTTATCTGGAAATTGTTTAATCCCTCCTTCAAATTTAAATGGTAATCTTGCCCGGTAAAGTATTCTTGGTTTGAGGTCCTTCTGTTTCATTGCATTAAATATGTCATGCCACTCTCTTCTGACCTGTAAGGTTTCTGCTGAGAAGTCTGATGATAGCCTGGTGGGCTTTCCTTTGTATGTGATCTTATTTCTCTCTCTGGCTGCTTTTAGTAGTCTGTCCTTATCCTTGGTCTTTGCCATTCTAATTACTATATGTCTTGGTGTTGTCTTCCTTGGGTCCCTTGTGTTCAGAGATCTGTACACCTCCATGGACTGAGAGACTATCTCCTCCAGATTGGGGAATTTTTCAGCAAGTACCTCCTCAAAGACACTTTCTATCCCATTTTTTCTTTCTTTTTCTTCTGGTACACGTATAATGCGAATAATCTTCCGTATGAATTGGTCTGACACTTCTCTCAATATTCTTTCATTCTTAGAGTTCCTTTTTTCTCTCTGTACCTCAGTGTCTTTGTATTCATCTTCTCTAGTTTCTATTTCATTTATCGTCTCCTCCACCGTATCTAATCTGCTTTTACTACCCTCCATTGTGCTCTTCAATAATTGGATCTCTGACCGGAATTCATTCCTGAATTCTTGAGTGTTTTTCTGTACCTCCATGAACGTGTTAGTGATTTTTATTTTGAAATCCGTTTCAGGAATATTCATGAGGTCAATGTCATTTAAATCTTTCTCAGGAATTGTATTCATAATTTTACTTGAACCAGGTTCCTTTGTCATTTCATATTGCTATATTGTGCCCTGTAGTGTCTAGAAGCTCTACTGTCTGGAGCTGCTCAGCTCCTGAAGCAATGTGGGGGGGTTGCAGGGGAGTGGTATTGGTGCCTGGGGGAAGGAAAGAGCTGTTTCCTACTTACCGGCTGCTATGCCTGTCTCCACTGCCTGAACCAGTGGCGTGAGCGCACAGGTATTGTGCTTTGCATTTGTAGTTGCAGTATACAAGTCTTTCCTCTGGCTGGCCTAATGCCTGGGTAGGATTTGCCATTTTGCGAGCCAGGTGGGGCTGGCTGGGAGAAAGGGCTCAGTAGGCTGCGTATCACGGATGGGTCCTTGGACCTATGTAGCCAGCCAAGGAGCTGGAGCACCTGAAGATCGTGAAAGCTCCCAACCTGCTGGGCAGAGTGCACCTGGACAATTTTGTCTACCTGTCCTTTCTCCTGAGCAGTAAACTCTGTCCAGTCCTTGCCCCTTTAGTAGCCGTCTTGCTAAGGGCTTCCTTGTTAGGAAGTCTCTCAGACTGCTTGCCTTTCTTTTGTCCCAGAGCAGCCGGATATGGATCCCTGCTTTCCACAAGTGGCTAGAATGTCAGTCTCTCCAGCAATTCTGCCTGTCTTTGCTTTCCAATCCCCTAATCACGATAGTACATGCAAACACTATGAAATGTAGGTTTGTGCTCCCAGAGCAGATCTCCGGAGTTAGGTATTCAGCAGTCCCAGGCCTCCACTCCCTCCCCACTCCGTTTCTCTTCCTCCTGTTGATGAGCTGGGGCGGGGGAAGGGCTTGGGTAACGTACCTCAGCTTTTCTCCAGGTGTATGCAGTAGGGTTCAGTCCTTTTTCCTGTTGCTTTTTCAGGATTAGTCTTATTAATTATATTTTCATATTATATGCGGTTTTAGGAGGAAGACTGTCTCACCTCTCACACCGCCGTCTTTAATCCTAGACAAATGGAATTTAATGTAACAAAGTACAAAGTGTTCATTTTTGTGTTCTTACATTCCACATTGCAACTAACTTGAAGCAACTTCTCAAGTTGTGGTACAGGCTCAAAAAAGAATGTGTATATTTATGTGGAAAGACTATTAAAATACTCCTCCTTTTTCCAGTACTTGTTTGTTAGACCAGATTTTCTTTATTTACCTTCGCCAAAGCAACACATCACAGCAGATTGAATGCAGGTGCAGATATGAAAATCCAACTTTTTTATTAAGCCAAACAGAGTTTCATAAGTCTAAAACTGTGCCACTCTTACCATTTATTTTTTTGGAAGGAAATACAGTTATTCTATTAAAAATGTGTTATTTATATTACTATATAATAGATTTAGTAAGAATTAGTTACTTTTATATAATTTAATAAGCATTTAAATATTTCAGTTGTAGTTTCTACTATAGCAAGTATCTTCAAATATAACTCACATCAACATAAACTCATAAACTCTTGGGTTCCGAAGTAATTTTTAAGAGGTATAGGAGTCCTAAACACCAAAAGGTTTGCGAACATTTTTCTGGTGACTAGTGGCCAGCAGATGGCACTATGCTGAGGAAGCTGATATGAATTTAATTGGTAAATGGGGGGTTCTTGGTGCAGAGTGCTCTTGAGAGGGATGCATGAGGTCCCTAAAAGATATCTCTTTCCTCAGAATGGACGTGATCTCTCTATCCGGTCCAGTGGTAGCCGGCACATGAAGAAGCAGACATTTGTGGTGCATGCGGGGACTGACACAAATGGAGATATCTTTTTCATGGAGGTAGGTGCTAGTTCATGCTAGGGGCTGAAAGGAGTATTTAAGAGTCACGAAGAACTCCTAGAACTGATGCCAATATTTTTCCCATTCATATCTCGTTCATCTTAATGGTCCATTAATCATTCAACTGTCAGGCTCTTATGCAAATAAATTAATATAATAGGTGATTTCTATCTTTGTGTGTGTGTGTGTGTGTGTGTGTGTGTGTGTGTGTGTAAAACAGATAACATAGTCACATTATTAGTAGGTCAGAACATAAAATAGCATACACTGGGAAGTCCTGCTCTCATTCTTCTACTCAGTTTCCCATCCATCTCACCCCTTCCTCCTGTAGGTAACCACTTTTGTTGGTTCTCTTTGTATCTTCTAGTGTTTTTTTATGTAAACACAATAAAACATGAACAAAAATTCTTATTTTTCTCCTTTCTTACAGAAGGGCAGTGCATAATACCCAGTGCTCTCTACTTTGCTTTTTTTCATTAAACATTTCCCAGAGATCTTCTGTATTAATACAAAAAGAGATGTCTCATCCTTTTATAGCTGCAGAGTATTCCACTGTGTGACTCTGCCACCATTTATTTCACCAGTTGCTATATATGTATCCTTGGTTTTCTTTTAGTATTTTTGCTGTTGCTAATAGTGCTACTATGAATGATGATGTGCCTGCTTCATTTCCTAATGTGCAGGTTTATCTAAGAATATTCAGAAATGGGATTATTGGGTCAAAGGGAAAATGCATTTATAATTTTGGTTGATGTGATTCTGGAGTATTACTTAACATGTAGTAGTCCCCCTCCCACCTTGCCATTCATTTTGTTGAAGACATTTGCCCTGAGCAGTATCTCACATTCAAGGTTTTTTGCTGATTGCATCTCCTTAGTGTTGTTTAACATGTTTCTGTATCACTTTTATTTCTTACAAACTAGTAGCCCAGTCTAGAGTTTTATTAGTTTCAGATTCAGTATTTTGGCAAGAACATGTCATAGATGGTGCTGTTTCCTGCTGGCCCCTCTGGTTGTCTCTCTCCCGGAGATCAGTGGGTTCAGGTGTGGGCAGCTTCATCTAGCCACAAAATTTTGCCATGCAGAATTTAAAATTTTTTATGTAGTTGAATTAATCAGTCATTTCTTTTATGGCTTCTGATTTTAAGTCATAAAATAGGAAAACATTTTCTATGAGAAAAGCCCTTCCTTACTCCAGGATCGTAACAGGAACGTATTTTCTTCATTTCTGTGGTTTTAATTCTAAAATGGGTGTCCTCTAAGTAAGTTTAGGAACCAAGTACAACTTCCATTTTTTATTAAGGTATTATTGGTATACACTCCTATGAAGGTTTCAAATGAAAAAACAATGTGGTTACTATATTTACCCATATTATCAAGTCCCCACCCACACCCCAATGCAGTCACTGTCCATCAGTGTAGTAAGATGCCACAGATTCACTGTTTGCCTTCTCTGTGCTACACTGTTTTCCCCGTGATCTCCCCACACCATGAGTACTAAACATAATACCCCTCAATACCTTTCTCCCTCCCCCCACCCCCCACCCTCCCACACCCCTCCCCTATGGTAACCACTAGTCCCTTCTTGGAGTCTCTGAATCTGCTGCTATTTTATTCGTTCAGTTTTGCTTTGTTGTTAGACTCCACAAATGAGGGAGATCATTTAGCACTTGTCTTTTTCCGCCTGGCTTATTTCACTGAGCATAATATCCTCCAGCTCCATCCATGTTGAAAATTGTAGGATTTGTTTCTTTCTTATGGCTGAATAGTATTCCATTGTGTATATGTACCGCCTCTTTACCATTCATCTACTGATGCACACTTAGTTGCTTCCATATCTTGGCCATTGTAAATAGTGCTGAGATAACCATAGGGGTGCGTATGTCTTTTTGAATCTGATAAGTTGTATTCTTTGGGTAAATTCCAAGGAGTGGGATTCCAGGGTCAAATGTTATTTCTATTTTTAGTGTTTTGAGGAACCTCCATATTGCTTTCCACAATGGTTGAACTAGCTTACATTCCCACCAGCAGTGTAGGAGGGTTCCCCTTTCTCTGCATACTCGTCAGTATTTGTTGTTTTTAGTCTTTTCAATGCTGGCCATCCTTACTGCTGTGAGGTGATAATCTCATTGTGGTTTTAATTTGCATTTCCCTGATGATTAGTGATGTGGACCATCTTTTTTTTTTTGAGAGGGCATCTCTCATATATATTGATCAAATGGTTGTTAACAACAATAAAATTCTGTATAGGGGACTCAATGCACAATCATTAATCAACCCCAAGCCTAATTCTCAACAGTTTTTAATCTTCTGAAACATAATGAACAAGTTCTTACATGGTGGACAAGTTCTTATATAGTGAATAAGTTCTTACATG